CAAATATTATACTTGCATCTACATAACTAAAATAATTAAGGAATAAATCAAATTTATTTGTAAATGAAATAAAAAAAATAGTATTTTCACATTATTTTCAAAGGTGACATTTTGGTGGTTCAGCCAGGCCAGTCATTACAGCAACATTTCCCTTATCAGACAGTCCTGTGTAATTTAAATAAAAACTGAAATCTTTTAATGGTCCCATTAGCTGTGTTTGTATTCTCTTGGATTGTGTCAATGTCTCAGACTAACTCTACTCTAGCTGTCCAACAGGAAGTGAACCAGTACTCAAAGGGTTCATCAAGTCCACATAGTTAATAAATGACAGCTGTGGCCAAGTGCATTCCAGCTTCGTTTCTCTCACCCTTTGGCCCATCTGTGGGCATTAGAGGCATATGTATTATCATATCATGACCTGGCACTTCATTATTAGTTTTAATCACAATATGTTTGGGTATAGAAATGCCTTTGCAATATTGTGGTAAAAAACCATACCCGCAGTCAGCCGAACTGAAACTAAATGAGCAAAAACAAAACTCTGAACACATCAGTCAGTGCAGAGATTGAATAAAATTGACATGCACATACGATATTGCAGTGTTTGGGCTTATTAGTGTTTGCAGCAAGCAACACTGTTATTAATGCTCATACTATGGGCTAGAGGTTTGCATAAATGTGAACATTATGCTACATACATGAATTATAGCAGAAATTATGACAGAAAAAAGTTGCTATTTCTTTTCAAAGCAATTGAACAAAATGCACTAAAATGTCTCAAAGACACTGAAGGAAGTGTTTTTGAATTGGGCCAGTAACCAAATCTAGCAACTGTACACTAAAAAAACACTGAGAATACCTTAGACATTGTAAAGCAGGTCAAAGCACTAATTTGGTTTCTAAAATATGCTGCTGTTGATATACATTTAGTGCAGCTCTTACATTGACAAATAATTCAGCTTCCACTGCTGAACATTAAGGTCACACATATTGTGACTCAAGCACTTCATGACAGAACCAATTCAGTTTGCGTTATCAAACAACTGTATTACAGAAGCAGTTTTCAGCCAATGAAGAAACATCTGTTGTGTTGCAAACACAAGCAGAAGACAAACATCTGTTTCTCAACCAGCGATAAGCGACAAAACCACAACTGCTGACAAAACAGGTGCTTTCATCAGAAGAACAAACCACTGTTACATGACTAAGGAGATGTTTCTGCACAGTCCATAGTGAAGACGAAGCATTGATTAGTCACGGGCCATTGATTTGACATGCTAAACACTTTTTGGAGATACGAACACTAAAGCAAGTCTCAAGACAAATCGTTTACGGATAGAAAGATCCTGAGAGCACTGAACATCTGTAATCGTTACTGCAGTGCAGTTGAACCTCATTATCACATTCAGACTAGGGGTCGACCGATATGTGTTTTTCAAGGCCGATGCCGATACCGATTATTACAGATCAAGTAGACCGATAACCGATCTTTTTAACCGATATATATGTCTGGTGTAAAAATGAAAATTAATGTCAAAATTAAGAATAACAAGGGCTCTGACAAAAACTGCCTTCCCTGGTGTTGGTTGAGTGTAGTACTCACACAGTAAACTTTATTTTAAAGAGTTAATCTCTTTATTTTTTGGCAAACTCTTTATTTAATGGGTTTACCATTAAAATTAAAACATGGAAGAAATAGCGTATTGTGTGATTATTCTTTTAAACAAAAGTTGTAATAATTGTTGTAGCAGTCAGGGGTTAAATTTCTATTTAAAACAATATAATAACAAGTAGAATAAGACAACTAAGTTACCAATCATGAAATTAGTATCAATGAAAAATTCATTTGTACTACAGAGGTGGCACAAAAAGAACACGAAAGTGGCTTGTAGGTACATTTTCAGACATTCAATGAGGCTCAAAGGTGGCATGAGTGCAATTAAATTCATACATTCATGTGGAGATTAATGTTTTAAA